GTTGCACCAGAGGAACTTTAGGTTGGATAATAGGAAATATTTCTTCACTTTTAAGGTGATCAAGCACTGGAAGAGGCTGCTCAAGGAAGTGATTGAGTCACCATCCCTGGAAGTGTTCAAAAAACATGTAAATGTGGCACTTACGGACATGGTTTAGTGGTGGGCTTGGCAGGACTGGGTTAGTGTTTGCCCTCGATGATTTTAAAGGTATTTTCCACCTTCAATGTTTCTATGATTCTATGAATACTTTATATATAAACCCCTATATATATATATTAATATATATATATATGTATGTATGTATTTGCATGTGTATCTGTCTATCAATCTATTGACCTGTCTATCTATCTATACATAGATAGATATGTTATACATACAGATATCTATGTTACACATAGATAGATCGATAGATCAATAGATAGATAGATGCATAAATACATATGCAGCTCTGCACTGGTTTTTTTTCTGAGTTTGAGTAGAGCATGTTCACTGGAAGTGTCATGACAAGACAATTTCTTTTCTAGTTGTTACTGGACAATTGAAATGCTAATGATAATACAGCAGGATAAATGCATATTGGGGAATATTTATTTCCTGCTTTAAAAGAGTCAGCCTCATGAAGTACAGAAGTAAGGGAGAGAATTTATATTAAGCATGTGAATGGTAACTAAGAATCCATTTAAAATATATTACTAGATGCTTGAGAAGATTGAATAAAGAAGATGATTTATTTAGGTTTTGATTTTGAGAAAGAGGATCTTGATTTAAAAATTCAACTGGAATTCAGATGGAAAAATTAAAGAAAAAACCTTTATTAATATTTAAAGAATTATAAAGTTAATTAAGTTTAAGAAAAGCATAAACATCAAAGAGTAAAAAGGAAACATTGATTTGAAGGAATATAAATCCAAAAGGAATGACAAGAATGTGATAAAATATGCAAAACCAAAAAATTAATGGACAGATAGTCAAAGACTATACTGTTATATGTAAACTGAGACCAAGAGAAAGTCACTAATGGTAGAGGTCTGTTACTTAAGAGAAGCTGTAGAATTATCAGTAAACAAAACAGGTAACAGAGGGGTCCAACAGCCATTTTTGTTGCATATTGAAAAAAAATATGAATTGTATAATAGAGATAACTAATAGTAATTAATGCATTCTTAAAATTTCAGGCTCACAAAATTGCTCTAGAAGTTACAAATTTTAAAAACCCTGCATGCTCAGATAGCTTGTATCCAAGATCTTTAGAAGAACTCTTTGAAAGGCAATATCAATATTCTCTGTCATTGACCAAGTCTGAGGAGACTGGCTGGGAGGCAGGGACTGTTCTCATCCAGCACTAGACACCTCTTTGTGAGTTTTCATCTCTGGGCTGGTCATCCTACATTCTCTCTACAGTCAACTGAGAGGTAGAGGCATTTGTAGAGTGAAATTCATCTGACCAAAAGCTCACATCTCTATTTGGTTAAAATAATCACATCCTAATGTGGTATCCACTTTTTTTAAAAAAACCAACAAGATGCCTAAGCTTTCTCAGATCTGCCTGCAAGGCATTGGTCCTGGATCTCCACGTGATGCTGTGGGATTGATCGTGTCCTTGGAGGTCTAAGCAAGGTCATCTTGTATAGGACTGAGCTTTTGACATGAGTGTCTCTCCAATGGGAAAGCTGAGCCATGTTCTAATACTACAGTTCAGGCAAATGTTGATGCATTGAAAATGTTCAGAGAAGAGTTATGAACCTCCTTCAGATACCCTGCAATATGATGGAAGACTGAGAGATGCTGGTAAGCATTATTTATTTTTGTAGTGTAAAAATATGCTCGTAGCTTTAATAAATATGCAAAAAAACCCCATACAAACTTAAGGGGAAAATACTAATAAAAAGAAAATAATAAGTTTGTATTCATGTAATGCCTATTATGTGAACTGCCTTCTTCAAGTGTCTGCCTATCCTAGCTGACTCTAAAAGGACCAGGGGTGCTTAGGCTTCTAATTCAGACACATTCATTAATATCATAAAGGATAGTTTGGGCTGAAAGTGATATTCAAACAGCAAGGTCAAATCTTGCTCCTTTAAAATCAAAAGTATGATTAAAGAATTGGGAAAGACACCTTACAATAAGAAACTCAGGAAGTTCAATCTATTTTACTTACTACGAAAAGGCCAAAGGGTGACATAACACAACCTGACATTACTACAGGGATAATCTCAATAATGACTTCTCAATCTGTCTGGCAAAGATAGAACAAAAGTCAGTGGCTGGAAGCTGAAGATAACTCAAACTAGAACCCAAATGTAATTAGTGGCAGCAGCAATAAATAATAATCAGGGTGGCTGATGATTCTTTAACTAAAGAACCCTCAAAATCAGTTTTATTAGGAAAAAAATATACTGTAAATCAGGCAATCAATAATTGAGGAAGGAACACAGCTTATGCTGGGCCAGATTCAGTCCAGCATCTCACACTGCCCAGTAATTTCACAATCTATAAATCCACTATTAAGGAGGTTTCTTATTTTGATCTGTTTAAGGAAACTATTATCTACATGCTTATCATGGTGAGATTTAATCACTGTTAATATATGCATAAGGTTCAAAGCAGGGTAATTACCATTTTTTCCAGCTCCGACCTCTTGTATGATTTGTCACTGCCTCTCCCAGCACTCTTGTTTTGAAAACTAATTCCTGTTATCTAAAAGACTTTCCAAAGCAAACACAGCAGTGTAGCACTTTCTAATATTTATTTTGCATTCTCAAAGAAAAGGCAATAGTGGTAGGGTTTTCTTTTGGGATGGAGAGTTCTTTTTCTACAAAGGTACTTGTGTCCACTGTAGCTTTACTGAGTCCAAGGACCAGGTCCATGGGCTGAGGGCTTTTCTTCGTAACTTCTGAATATGCAGTAGGTGATTTTAGGGTGGGAATTAGGTGAAGTCCTATTTTGGTAGCAGCAAACTCTGCTTCAGTGCCTAACTGCAGCAGAAGAATGCAAATGCAAAGGGGTTTCATATACTAAGACAAGAATGCATAGTTTTTATGGTCACCATGATTCTCCCTCCAGCCTTCTGTCCTACATAATTTGGACAAAACAAAAACAACCAAAACCTTCTCCAGTGGAAGTCTGCTTTCAGGTGTTTGTGTGGAGAGCACCCATCACCCATTCCCCACAGTTTTATGATGTAGATGGTAAATTTGGCGGTGCTGGGACATGTGCAGCACACTGTGTGTGTTCACAGCATTATCATCCACCCAGATTAGCAGCTGAGCACTGCTGGGTACGGGCAGCAATGTTCGTGGGTAAATATGGGCCTTGCAAGATATAGTTGAGTTGCTGGCTCCATCGTAGACTCCTTGCCTGACCTTGGGACTGGAGCACTGTCTGCCTCTGTGTTTAAAAAGTTAAGATAATTTTACTTGTCTGCCTCACAAGGATTTTGTGAGGTTAGAGGCACTGTTTATTGGAGTTAGCTGTAAAGCGATGAAAGCTGTGTAAATACCTATGCTCGTGAAACCTCAGTTACAGCACTATCCATCTTGTCAGAGCAAAGCACACTTAATGCCCATCAGTCCCCACAACATCATGGTACAACTCACACACGTTTCCCCCCTCTCAGAGGTGAAGAAAACCCCAATGGTGACAGAGCCTCAGAGGGGAAACCCGTAGTGAGTGAGCACAGAGCACTTCATAGCATGGGCTTTGCTGTGATTTACAGTCTCGTGCTCTGTGAGGAGCCGTAGCTGAGAGCTGCCTTAGTCTGTAAATCTCAGTCTTAGTTGAGCGATGCGGCCAGGGGGTGTTGGGGAGAAGTGAAGGCCCCAAGGTGCGTTTGGAGGCAAAGCTGCCCGGGACAGACATGCTCAGGAGCACATGTACATGCCACATGCCGTAAGCACACAGTAAAGAGGTCGCTTAACCAGGGCTTTACAAATATTTTCAAAGTGCTTTACAAACAATTCATTAATAGGTGACATATTTTTGCTAAAGGCACAACCAGCTCAACCAGATTTTATTACAGGTGTAAATAATAGCAAGAGAATTTAAGTGTGAGTTTCATTTCTTTGCTCTTAATCCCTCCTCCTGCTGACACGTTAAAGATCTGCTTGATCATCCAGCCCTTTCCTCCAAAATTCACACATGTTTCATCCACACTTACTTATTTTACGGGGATTTATACAAATCCAGGAGGTACCTAGCAGTGCTCTATGGGTTTCATGGCCCCAGTGAAAAAACAAACAGTGCTAAAGCTCAGATGTGACCCAGCAGTGCAGTTTAAGCCATTAGGAAGACAAAGTGGCACCTTAGAAAGCCACTTCGTATATTTTTAACCTGAGTGAAGAAGCTGATCACTTTAGGCTGAAGAAAGGGCAGACGTGAAGGGAGGGTTGTGGTACGGTGAGCCTCAACAGATCTGCGAGGGGCTCAGCCCACCCTATTCCCTGGGGAGCCGGACTTCAGGACCCCTGGGACCAGCACCCATGGTGGGAAGGCATGGTGGGAACATTGGGGACAGTGACGACGTCCCCCAGGGGCGGGACGGAAGGGGGGACCTGTTGTGGGGAGAGAAGGCAAGGCTTCCCTGAGTTTCTGAGGGATGAAGGAATGAAGGATGGGGGGTGCAGGTAGAGGGTTTCCGGGAAGGAAGAGAGTGGGTCCTTGCGAGGAGCGGTGGGAGGCAGACGGTGAAAGTGCGCTTTTCGGGGTTGGCGGTGCGGGTCGGCGTTCCCCATGGAGCGAACGCCTCGGTGCCGGATGAGGGGCGCAGGTAGGACCCCCTTCCCTGCCGTCCCCTGCCGCGCCGTGCCGCGGGGCGCTGCGGCGGGGCGGGCTCCCTGGCGGGGCGGGGGCGCGGGGGGCCGGCGGGCGGCCGCGTCCCTCCCCTGGGCCGATTCTCGGCGGAGGCTGTTTAATAGCGGGGGCCGCCCGGCCCGCCCCGTTGGAGCCGGCCCGTGCGGCACGGCGCGGCCGGGCCGGGGCCGGGGCCGGGGCCGCAGCGCGGGCCATGGCGGGGGGCGGCGGGCCGGGGCCGGCCGCGCCCGGCTGCTGCCGTGCTGCTGGCGGGGCTGCTCGGGCGGGGCGCGGGGCTTCGGCGCGACGAGGAGGAGGCGCGCTGCGACGCCATCCGCATCGCCATGTGCCAGAACCTGGGATACAATGTCACCAAGATGCCCAACCTGGTGGGGCACGAGCTGCAGGCGGACGCGGAGCTGCAGCTCACCACCTTCACCCCCCTCATCCAGTACGGCTGCTCCAGCCAGCTCCAGGTGGGTCGGGGCTCCGAGGGGACCTGGGTGCGCGGGCGAGGACTGTGTGGTCCCCGGGCCGGCTGCTGTCCCCCAGCATCCCCATCCTCATCCCCATCCCCTCGACTCAGTACAAAACCAACCTGAAAGTCCCGCCTGCTCGCAGTGCCGCTCCTGGCTGGCTGGGGAGAGCACGGCTCACGTTGGGTGGAGGGACAGGGAGCCGGCGGCGTCCCGGCGTTGTCCCGGCTGCCCGCGGCAAGGAGCGCAGCGCGGTGCCCCCCACCCGCGCTCCCGCGGAGGCTGCAGCGGCTCCCAGAGCTTTCCCAGGCTCTGCCCTCTGTCCCGGCCGTGCCCCAGGTGCCGCGCCCGCTTCCACGCGGAACGAGCGGAGCTGGCTGCAGGAAGCTGTGGCGACTTGGGACCCCCCCCTACCCCCCGGGAACTTCACCGCGGAAATTTCTTTCCCAAGCGAATAGCAAGATCGCTGTCCTCCCCACGGGCATAGATTTCATCAAACAAAACCCAACTTGTTTCATGGGGCAGAGTTCCCGAGTCCGCACGCAATTCCTCTCACGGTGTCGCGTCGCTGAATTGCGATTATTCAAAAGAGGAGAAAACTACAATGTTTGATTACCGTTGTAAATACATGCGTGAACTGATTGTAAAAGAAATACATTCTTCTAGGAGGATCACGAATCAAATGCCTTTTTTTTTTCTATTTGTTTCTTAACTGGAATATCCAGACAATGCCCAGAACAAATATATGTATTTGTTTAAGCCACTTTAATTTGTTTTTTCTGCTTTCTTAAATTGCACCCTTGAGCTTCAAGCCTGGCTAAATCCCACTTGCTTCATTGAAACTGATGGGCTAAATTTACATAGAGCTAATCTAGGGAGTAAAACGTTCAGGCTTTGGCTTCGGTCCACATTTGAACTGAAGAAGACAACATTGTTATTTTTTTCTCTTTTGTTTTTATTGTTCTTAGTTTATTTGTTTTATGCTGCTTCCTGTTTTTTAAGGCAAAACACCAAATATTACTGCTAAAAAGTCAAAAAAAGAAAACTTGTTATACATCAACTTGTCTAATTTTCCTTGGACACACTTGTGATTTTTGTTTCTCTCTTCCAGTTCTTCCTGTGTTCAGTCTACGTCCCAATGTGCACAGAGAAGATTAACATCCCCATAGGTCCCTGTGGTGGCATGTGCCTCTCTGTCAAAAGAAGATGTGAACCCGTTTTAAAAGAATTTGGATTTGCCTGGCCAGACAGCCTAAACTGCAGCAAATTCCCACCCCAGAATGATCACAACCACATGTGCATGGAGGGCCCAGGAGATGAAGAGGTTCCCCTTCACAGCAAGACCTCCTTGCAGCCTGGAGAAGAGTGCCACAGCATGGGGTCTAACTCAGATCAGTACATTTGGGTGAAGAGAAGCTTGAACTGTGTCCTGAAATGTGGCTATGATGCTGGTCTCTACAGCAGGTCAGCTAAAGAATTCACAGATATCTGGATGGCTGTGTGGGCCAGTCTTTGCTTCATCTCAACTGCCTTCACGGTCCTGACCTTCCTGATTGATTCATCCAGATTTTCCTACCCGGAGCGCCCAATCATATTTTTGAGCATGTGCTACAATATTTATAGCATTGCTTATATTGTGAGGCTAACTGTGGGCCGGGAAAGGATATCCTGTGATTTTGAAGAGGCAGCAGAACCTGTTCTTATCCAAGAAGGTCTTAAGAACACAGGATGTGCTATAATTTTCTTGCTGATGTACTTTTTCGGGATGGCTAGCTCCATCTGGTGGGTTATTCTGACACTGACGTGGTTTCTGGCTGCAGGACTCAAGTGGGGCCACGAAGCTATTGAAATGCACAGCTCGTATTTCCACATTGCAGCCTGGGCTATCCCGGCGGTGAAGACCATCGTCATTTTAATTATGAGACTAGTAGATGCAGATGAGCTCACCGGCCTTTGCTATGTTGGGAACCAGAACCTGGATGCGCTGACAGGCTTTGTCGTCGCTCCGCTTTTTACCTACCTGGTCATTGGGACTTTATTCATTGCAGCGGGACTCGTGGCCTTATTTAAAATCAGGTCTAATCTCCAGAAAGATGGAACTAAAACTGACAAACTGGAAAGACTAATGGTCAAAATTGGTGTCTTTTCAGTGCTGTACACTGTCCCAGCAACATGTGTCATCGCCTGTTATTTCTATGAAATCTCCAACTGGGCCATTTTCCGCTATTCAGCGGATGATTCCAATATGGCAGTGGAGATGCTCAAAATTTTCATGTCCCTTCTGGTGGGTATTACATCAGGTATGTGGATCTGGTCAGCCAAAACTCTGCACACGTGGCAAAAGTGCTCGAACAGACTGGTGAACTCAGGGAAAGTGAAACGGGAGAAGAGAGGAGATGGTTGGGTGAAACCCGGAAAAGGGAACGAGACTGTGGTCTGAGAAAAAGACGACACCCCAATGGTCTGACTGCTCTCCTGTGAAGGACTGATGGTGTGTAAGCATTGCCATGTAAATTTTGGGAATAGAATAGGGAGACGGTTACACAACCTTTCTCTGGGGGATTAAAAAAAAAAAATGCCTTAAAGAATAAACAGCAAAAAGATCATGCTGCAGATACAATAGCCATAAACCATGCTGCCCAAAATAGGAGAGCCCAGGGAGGCTTTAAAAGCTGTGAAATACACAAACGTGTTATCTTCCTTTTTTTTTTTTTTTTTCATTTTTTAAAGCAGGATGCAATTACTGAAGTCTTGAAGTCTTTAGAAGCTGAGGGGCTGTAGCCCACAGCTGTAGGATGATGTTTTTCTTTCATCGTCTTATAGCTGATGGAGGAAAGGCAGTCCAGGGCCAAATTCTGGGCTTATTTAGTGTCCAGTTACCAGAAGGTGGAGTACCCAGGACCTCAGTTAGATGTCTTCTTTCCTAGTTCAGCATCGAGAAGGAAGCATTTGATGAGGATTATGTCTTTATACCCTGGGGAATTCTGTTGTTCCCATACACTGCACAAGTCAGCCAAGGATCAGTCCTCCAACAAATAGCAAGTGGGCTTTCAGGTCTGAGCTTTACCCATGATGAGTAGGATTTAGTGAGGTATTAGTAAGGATTATTCTTGAAGTCATCTGATGGCCTAATAATAATTTCAACTCTTTTTTTTTTTACCATTTGTAACCTGGTCTGAATTGAGTGTTGATTCTGCCACATGGGAATTTGGACCTCCCTGCATCCCTTCACACTTGATTTATTCTGTGATTTTATGAATATTTCTAATTTTTTAAAAGCTTTACTCAAGGCCAATGTCAGATGTAGAGGACTCAGCAGAAAGTGAGAAACTGTGTATGGTCTTCTACATCAATTATTATTATCCATCTGCCTCCATTCCTGTCCCTTCAGGTGCTCCTGCTATTTCCAGAAGACTACTTTATTCTGCTGCATTTAATAACTTTAAATAAAGTCTTAAAATATAGTGTTCCTTCCTCAAGGAAAGAGAAAAAAGGAGTCGAGGGTACCTTTAAACAATACCAGTTTTCTCCAAGTAAACTTACCTGTCTCTTTGGAGACCCATTGCATAAAGCAATTAAGTCTTAATATATTTTGTTCAGTGTGATGGTATCTCTGCAGACACCAATCTGAGGAGAATCAAAATGTTAAGTTCCTTGGCAACCTCATGTTCACACAGATCAGTTGTATAATTATGTGTGTCAGTTCCAATTAAAAGAACATTCTCAGCCCATGACATTGCAGTACAGCTGACTGCCTCACAATGATGCTTCAGTTGCTCACTGGTGGCTATGGAGAGGGGTTTTTTTAATGTATATTTACACACAGAATGTGAGCAGGCATTCAGTCCTCAGGAACAACAAAGACCTTTCCAGTTTTTGTAAAGGGATCCAACTTCTTGGTGAATAATGTTGTTTCAAAGCAACTGTTGAGTTTTCTTATCCTCTTGTTTGAGGAGGCATCAGCTTGTTCTTATTGGGAGATTGAACCTAGTGTCAGGGGCTTGTTTGGCTAATAAGAAAGATGATACAAATAGAAATACCCCAGAAGCACTTAAGAGAACACTGTTCTGATGTTCTATCCCTTTGAAAGACCTTTGGTTTTATGTGTGTGCTCTAAAGTTTTACTTCATTTCTTTGTGTGAACCTGATCTGCTGCAGAGCATTCCCTCTGGTGTCCCAACTCACACGACCTTCAAGGGCAGCTGAGAACAGATGCTGCTTTATTAAAGTACTTGCTTTTCACACAGGTGCCCATGTGCTTCCCAAACCACAGTTCACTCCAGCTCTGGAAGTGAACACTAATATGTCCAAGCATGTATTGTTTCAGTGTCAGTGTCAAAACATGTGCTAGAGCACTTCTTTTTTTAAACTAAAAACCAAACCCTAACGACTGAGCTCCCTCTCCAGCAGCACAAGTGACAACTTGACACATTCTACTTAAGACTCATAAGTGTTGTTTGGTCAACGCCCCATTCCAGCCAGGCCTTTTCATCCTCTCCATAAAGTCTCTCGCTATTAGTGTTGTGTTTGGGTCTGGTTATGCCTTTGTGGACAAGGAGTTCTGCAAGTATGAGATCTTCAGGTGGCTGAGCTTCTCCATCGTGCAGTCTTTGTGCTGGTGCAGCAAGGAATGTAAAGTCAGCAGCTATATGTTGGCTTTCAAAGAGGGAGGATGCAGTATGAGTCTTTTTTGGTAAAGTGGTATTGGGCTGTGCCAAGGTGTCATGTTCACTCAAGTGTTCCTCACTCTGAAACACTTTGGATACTTTCCTGGCTGATATGACCCGTGTTTGACCAGACTGATTCAATAAATGAAGTTTTTAACCACGTTATTTATACAGAAGTGAATGTTAAGTAGTACCTTGTTGTCAAATCCTTGCATCTCTGCCTGTGACCCTGTGAACTGTGACAGAGGGATGCCCCTGGTATTATGAGATGATGTGAGTTGGATGAGGATGGCACTGTGTAGCCCTATGAGGGACCTGGGGGGATATCCCATTTAAAGCATGTGAGCGACTCAAATGCGATGGGAAGGAGGTGGGCTGGGGGGAGGCACCACCTGCTATTCCTGAAGAAACATCTTCCCCCAGCAGTCGGGGGCAAGCTGTACTGACCCAAAGTGAAATTAGTTGTTGCAGCAATTAAACCATTCCATAAATGCATTCATCCATGTGCATTTACCTTGCTCCACTTTATGTCTGTATGAGTGGGAAGTCACAGCAGCCTAAAAACTGGTGGTTATAGGGTAGGTACCAGCAACTTTTGGGTTCTCTTATCTCAGCGTTGTTATGAATTTCAAGCCAAAACCAGTGTGACTAATCCTATCTTGGAAACGCAGTTGCTGTGGTTATACAACTAGAAACTTTACAGGCATTTCCTTGGATTACGCAGTCCCCGCTCCCATCTCCCCCCTCAGCATGTGCTCTTCTCACTGCAGGTTCTGGAAGTGTCTACGTGAGAGGTACAAGCTTAGCTCTTACATTAAACAGACATGTTAGTTCCTTTTTCTGAATTTTAAGGAAATGGACACTGATTATTTTGGGGTGTACAAAAAATATATCTACTTCAATGTATGTACTGTAAATTTCTAATTTATCACTGTAAAAAAAACCCAAAGCAAGTTTGCTATTTAATTTTTATATAAAAATAAAACTTTAACCTCTGTGGATAACTAAAGAATTCCTGGCAGCCCTCACGTTTTTGGTAAGTTTGTTTCTTAAGTTAGCTTCAGCATTTTTTTGGAAGTGCTTTTTTCCCCTGAAGGAAGAAGGGCTGAAATGCTCATACTGGAGTGAAATGATGCTTTGAATGGGTTGATCCAGCATGATTTGGATCTAAATGTGCAATGTGAGGAATAAGAGAACAAGACATCATTGGGCAACAGTGAAAGTATGTTCGTGCTTCTGCACATTGTGTGGACAGAAACCCTTTCAAAGACCGTGCACGTGTCCCAGGTTCTGGCTGGGGATGCACCTGGAACTTTAGGCTTGTCTGAGTATGTCCCTGGATCCCAATGGGATGGCAAGATGAAAGCATAGCCATCTGCTGCTCTAGCACTGCTGTGGTGTGGCTCTTGAGAAGAGCAGCACCTCCTCTAATGCTCCCTTTTGTTTCAGGTATTATGGAATATGTGCATCCAGAGATGCACTGAGCATTCAAATTCAAGGTATATGGTAGAGGAGGGCAGCGTCACCACCTGCCTGTTCAATATATATATCAGAAATATTAGTAGCTTTTGGAAGGGGCAAATTTTAATCTTAGTAATGTACTTGAAATGAGTTCACTCCAATGGGCGATTTCAGTGATTTCAACCATTCAGAGAACAGTTTCAATGGAATGTTTACATTTTCTAGCAATGGTTTTCTAAAAAATAAGTTTATTATTGCTCCGCTTTTCATTGCTTTTTTTCATTTCTGTTCACAGTTGGGATGTATGGTGACAGCAAGGAGTTCATTTTTGTGTGCATCCCTCACCAGTTTCTCTGACACTGATTGGACAGTTTGCAATATTAGTCATCTAACCCACTTAATCATCTCCATCATGAAACATTCTGTGTGTGCGATAACTTAATTAGCACAATGTTATTCTAATAAGAACCTAAATCAGACTAGAGTGGATAATAGCGAGGGTGTGCTATAAAGAAGACAGTAGGAAATATCACCTGTGCATCTGTAGCTAATCAAGTTTTGGAGAGCAGCACCTAAAACTGGTAATTGTGAGTGATTTGCTCATGCCTTTTGCAGCTCATCATTGTAATGTTCTCAGGTTGGTGATTAATGAGATCTCTGAAACTTATCGTAAGGAATCTTTAATAAAGCTACTGTTAACTGTAGCAAACATAAAAGAGCTTCTGGGAAAGGGAGCAGGATCTTCCTCTTGTTGACACCACGAGAGAATCTCAGGTGTGGCATACCAGACAGTGTTGGCTGCTCCAGGTCTCTTATGGCTGCTTGCCTTTACACATGTCCTTCACAGAAGGTGTCTCCAAGCATCACCTATGAAGTGACAGGAGATTTATGGAGTGGCTTTGAATGGTGAACAACCTCCTCAAACCACTGGGATGACAAATCAGCCCAGGTTTACCTATTGGGGGGAGTATGTATCTGCATACAAAACTAAAAAAATTACCCTTTATAAGGCCTTTCTGTGGTTGTTTTGCTATTTAGCCTTGGCTTTTTTGATTGGTTGGTTTTGTCTTTTTTTTTTTTTTTTAAATCTATCTTTTAAAGAAGGCAAATATTAGGGAGTTTATAGCAAAGGAGACCAGACTTCTGCTGCCAGAAATCAGGAGCAGCCTAAGCTCCAGTAATGTGAAAACATGGAGTCATGAGACCTTGGCTTCAGTGGTGGAGTTTCCACCACACCTCCTCTGTCCTCAGCCGCTCATTCCCATAATGGCACTGCATTTCAGCTCCTTCACTTTGCCAGTACAATGACTTGTGTGGTGCTGCAAAGCAGATCAGCAAGAAGATCCGGGATAAAAATAAACACCAAAGGTTTTTGCTTTGTTTTATGATGGAGGTTTAGTTTTAACTTGGATCATGTCAGGGGTCTTGTGGCAGACACACCTAGGGCTGTACTGTTGCAAGTGAGGCATCAGGATTTGCAGGGGGAGCAGTGGTCTGGCCTACACTGCTTTGAGTCCTGCAGGCATTATCCTATGGAGCTGCTCCTCAAGCCCTCTTGCACCATAATCCCCATCAGGCCAGAGCTGTGTCTACCTGCAAGGTTGTAGGAATGGAAGAGAGAGAAGTGACAACTACCTGACCACTTCCAGCTTCCCCAGCCTCGGCTAAAATAACAAAGCCTTCAGTAGGGCTGTTGGTAACTCCCTAAGTGTGATTCTTTAACTGGGATGACTGAGTCCAGCTTTGAACTGCTCACCTATAGGTGAATGCCCTCACAGCAGCCCCATAGCAGCTGTGTCACACTGATACTCCACAGTGCCCTTTTCGACACACTCAGACTAATTGGCTCATAATATAGGCCAGGAGTTTGCAGCCTCTTTCTCAGCCTAGGATGGTTCCAATATTAATGTAGCATGAGTGCAAAGCAAAGCATCTCTTCGTGTTTGCAAAGCCAACACTGACTGCAACAGAAATGAGGTAGAGCACAGTCCAGGCTGGAGCTGCATCCTGCCGTCTTGCTGCACCTCTCCAAGAGGAATGGACGAGAGGATGGGTGCAGGCCAGGCAGCTCCCATCTGATGCTAAGCTGGTACAATGGATCTTGTATCACTTCTATTTCTTGCAGCTGGGAAATGATTTCTGGCCAGAGGTCCTGCACATCCTGGCAGACTCCAGCTGTTGTAACAGCTTTCTGTTGTTAGCAACCAGATGTTTTGTTTTATGCTCTGGAAATAGCCTACCAAACAGTCATCACGGGGCTGAAAGAGCACAAAGGTGGCTGAGAGGGCAGTGGCAGCAAATGAGGACTCACATACTAAGGTATCACTCAGAAACTGTTCTTCTCTTTTCCTAGCTTTGGGGGGAGCAGGGAACTCCTATGTGCCAGATATTAGGTACAATACCAGAGGAAACAGGTTAAATTCCAAAGGCAAGTATTATTGTACACAAAGTTTACTGTAATTTGTAACTTTGATTTTTTTAGTGTGTTTTCTTGCCAGAAGCAAAAATGCTTATTAATTAGACCAACTTCAGAGTGCTCAGGGAAGGGAGATTTTAATTTTGTCCATTTTTAAATCAGTGGTTTAAAACATAAAAAAAAAACAAACCAAAAACAAACAAAAAAAACCCCAACCAAACCAAATACCCCGAACAATTACCCATGGCTTGTTGATACACTGGCAATATAAATATCTTCATTTCATATTTCCATCAGCATTTAGCTAGTTTCCTGTCTGGTTCTTTCATTTCCTGAGTTTATTCTGAGAAAGGGAAAAACATCCTTCCTGCAAAATAGGTGCAATCATTCGGCAATCTGCTTCTGCTTCTACAATATTAAGTTTTAAAATACTCTTATGCAGAGAAACAGCCTGACAGTAAATGTCTTAATGGATTAAGTGTTTTCTTCCGAAGCAACTCAGAGACACTCTCGCTCAGGTATGTGGTAACGGATGATAAAAGGGGTACCATGGAAAAGCAGCAATTAGGTCTTTTCAGGGATTTTTCTTGCATTTTAAAGTCTTTTGCTTTGCAGCAAGGAATGGCTGACATCTAGTGGCAGCTGCACCCTGGCCCCAGCTGCTCGATGCCGCTCACAACCCTGCTCCCCTTGTGTTCTGCCATTCCTGGACGGATTTGATTTTCGTAGCACTGAGAGGCTGGGGCATAAAGTGGGAGCAGCTACCGGAGTGGGGCTCCTCACCTCTGCCTGCTCCCTAGCCCTGCCAGGCTGTACTCCGACTCCCGCTGCATTCTCCTGGGAGGGCTGGTTGTCTCCTTGGTAAAATCAACACCACCATAGACTTTCATAGAATCATAGAACTGTTTGGGTTGGAAGGAACCTTTAAAGGTCATTAGTCCAACACGCCTGCAATGAGCAGGGACAGCTTCAACTAGGTCAGGTTGCTCAGAAATGTGTCCAACCTGGCCTTGACTGTTTCCAGGGATGGGGCATCCACCCCCTCTCTGAACAGACTGTGCCAATGCCTTACCACCCTGGCTTTCTTCCTGGCTCCTGATATTGAACCCCTTACTCAGGTGTTCAAGGGCAATGGTGTACAGGAACAGGAGGACCACCCACCCCTCCCTCCATCAAAGCTCCAAAACAGCCCATGGAAAAGTGAGGGCAAAGCAGGGCAGGTACCTGAGCTGCTGGTGGTGAAGGCTTTGTCCAGCAGCACATCTACTAGCTCTGGGCTATACAGGAT